GCTGAGAGAGCTCTTTTGAGAATTGCTCTTGAGAGAACAGCTCTGAGAGAACTGTGACTGACCCCAGGTCACACCAGCAGCTGCATGTGGAGGAGTGGGGAATCAAACCCGGTTCTCCCAGACTAGAGTCCGCGCATTCAACCACTACACCAAACTGGCTACAGAGATCAGTTCCCCTGGAGAAAAGGGATGCTTCAGAAGGTGGGCTCGGTGGCATTGTACCCAGCTGAGGTCCCTGCACTTCCCGGGCTCCATCTGCAAATCTTCACGAGTCTCCCAAGCTGCAGTTGGCAACCCCGCTCCCCTGTCCCCTGCCAGTGCCCAAGGGGTCTGGTAACCTTACTCTCCAGGGTCTCAGGCAGAGGTCTTTCCCATCACCTCCCACCTGGTCCTTTTGTGTGTGTCTGTGCGTGCGTGCATGTGTGCCTTGACCTGGAAGTCCTGTCGACCTATGGTGACTGACCCCTGCTGGGGGCATAGGAGGATATTCAGAGAGGTGGCTGAATAAAGCCTGCCCCCGCCTCCCAGCTGCTGGTATTCCGTGGTGGTCTCTCATCCAAGGACTCGCAAGGGTCGGCCCCGGTTAGCTTCCAAGAGCGAGCTTGCCTGGGCTAACCGGGTCAGGGCCGGCCTGGTCCTTTTAACTGGAGGTGCTGCCGGGGATTGAACCTGGGACCTTCTGCATGCCGAGCAGATGCTCTGCCACTGAGCCATGGATTCTCCCCAACATGAGCGCATGAAGCAGCAGAATCAGACCCTCAGTCCATCAAGGTCAGCATTGTCTACTTAGACTGGCAGTGGCTCTCCAGGGTCTCAGGCGGAGAGGTCTTTCCCATCACCTCCCGCCTGGTCCTTTTAACTGGAGATGCCGGGGACTGAACCTGGGACCTTCTGCATGCCAATCAGAGGCTCTTCCACTGAGCCACGGCCCCTTTTTACAGCTCTCCAGGGTCTCAGGTGGAGGTCTTTCGCATCACCTCCTGCCTGGTCCTTTTTAAGTGGAGGTGCCGGGGATTGAACCTGGGACCTTCTGCATGCCAAGCAGAGGCTCTTCCACTGAGCCACAGCCCCTCTTTACAGCTCTCCAGGGTCTCAGCCAGAGGTCTTTCCCATCACCTCCCATTTGATCCTTTTAACTGGAGATGCCGGGGACTGAACCTGGGACCTTCTGCATGCCGAGCAGAGGCTCTACCGCTGAGCCACAGTTCCTCCCCTCCCACAGCCTGCATTAGGGGGGATGGGGGGAGCTCCCTGCCGGCCTCCATACCTGTTTCCTGGAGGAGACAGGCACGCTGGTTCTGGAGCTGCCATTCCTCTCTTTGCCGTCCAAGTCTCCACAGCGTTTGTGGAGGGCCGGCGGTTGGTGCGGGACGGGGCCGCGGAAGAGGACCCTGCCGATGAGGCCGTAGAGCACGGTGGCCAGGAACAAGGGGGTGACGAAGAAGAGGGCAAAGTCGAGGAGGTAGATGGGCAAGTAGAGGTTGCGGGAGACCTTGTAGCCACACTCCACCTGCCGGCTCCGGCTGACGTTGATGTCCACCAGGAAGAACCAGAGCAGGCAGTACACGGCGGTGAGGCTCCAGATGAAAGCGATGATGCGCTTGGCTCGTGACACCGTGCACATGGCTTGGGCTTTCATTGGGTGGCAGATCGCGATGTACCTGCGGAGGGGAGAAGAGGGGGAGAGTGATGCTGGGGAGCCAAGCAGCAGCACAGACTGGAAAGGAGGAGGAGGAGATTGGATTGATACCCCATGGCCCTTCACTACCCAAAGGAGTCTCAGAGCGGCTTACAAACTCCTTTCCCTTCCCCTCCCCACAACAGACACCCTGTGAGGTAGGCGGGGCTGAGAGAGCTCTGAGAGAAACTGCTCATTTTCAAGAACGGCTCTTATCAGAACTACGGCTTGCCCAAGCTCACCCAGCAGGTGCAAGTGGAGGAGTGGGGAATTATACCCTGCCCTACCCTGCCCTTCACTACCCAAAGGAGTCTCAGAGCGGCTTATAATCTCCTTTCCCTTCCCCTCCCCTGTGAGGTGGGTGGGGCTGAGAGAGCTCTGGCAGAAACTGCCCTTTTTCAAGAACAGCTCTTGTCAGAACTGCGGCTTGCCCAAGGTCATCCAGCCAGGTGCAAGTGGAGGAGTGAGGAATCAAACCCGGTTCTCCCAGATTAGAGTCCGCGCACTTCACCACTACACCAAACTGACTGGAATGAAGAACGATACCCTGGTCTGGCCAGAGCCGTCTGCACCCAGAAGCCAGCTTCTGCAGCCAGAGCCCCAAGTGAGATCTGCTCCTCTGTCTTCCTCAGATTACTGGGGCAGTGGTCATGCTAGATCTCTTCTGATGCTGTGGGCTGCAGACCCACAAACAATGTCAGCTGTTGCTTTTTTATCCTGCACCTTCCTTCAAAAAGAAGGTGGCATCCACAGGGGCCTCTCCCCTTATATTTATCCTCATAACAACCCTGCAAGGTAGAGGAGGCCGAGAGAGAGAGAGTGTTAAAACCAAAGCCATATAGTCAGCATCATGCCCAAACAAGGACTCAACCCAGGTCTCATCAGCAACAGTTTAGCTGCTGTGATCCCAACTTGACATAACTGATCGAGGCCATTTATAGAAGAACATTAGAAGAGCCCTGCTGGATCAGACCGGTGGTCCAGCTAGTCTGGCATCCTGTCTCACACGGGCCAGCCAGCTCCTCTGAAGGGCCAGCAACAGGGCAGAGAGGCCGAGGCCTTCCCCTGAGAAGAACATCAGAAGAGCCCTTTTGGTTCAGACCAGAGGTCCACCTAGTCCAGCATCCTGTCTCACACAGAGGCCAGCCAGTTCCTCTGGAGGGCCAGCAAGAGGGCAGAGAGGCCGAGGTCTTCCCCTGAGAAGAACATCAGAAGAGCCCTTCTGGTTCAGACCAGAGGTCCACCTAGTCCAGCATCCTAACCAGCTCCTCTGGAGGGCTGACAACAGGGCACAGAGGCCGAGGCCTTTATAAGAACATCAGAAGAGCCCTGCTGGATCAGGCTAGTGAGGGTCCAGCATCCTGTCTCACAAAGTGGCCAACCAGTTCCTCTGGATGGCCAACAACAGGGCAGAGAGGCCAAGGCCTTCCCCTGAGAAGAACATCAGAAGAGCCCTGCTGGATCAGATCAGAGGTCCACCTAGTCCAGCCTCCCGTCCCACAAAGTGGCCAACCAGTTCCTCTGGAGGGCCAGCAACAGGGCATGGAGGTCAAGGCCTTCTCCTGGTATCGCCTCCTGGCACTGGTAATCAGAGGATGATGACTGCCCCTTTAGTCACCATGGCTAGTGGCCACTGATCGGCCTCTCCTCCATGAGTCTGTAGGCTCTCCGGGGTCTCAGGAGGAGAAAGGTCTTTCCCATCACCTCCTGCCTTGGCCTTTTTAACTGGAGATGCCAGGGACTGAACCTGGGAACTTATGTGCCAAGCAGAGGCTCTGCCACTGAGCCACGGCCCCTCCAGGATGGACACATGAAGCTGCCTTAGACTGAATCAGACCCTTCGTCCATCAAAGTCAGTATTGTCTATTCAGACTGGGAGCAGTTCTCCAGGGTCTTAGGTGGAGATCTTTCCTATCACCTACTGCCAGATCCTTTTTGCTGGAAATGCCGGGGATTGAACTTGGGACCTTCTGCATGCCAAACAGAGGCTTTACCACTGAGCCACAGCCCTTCCCCTTCAAACAGCAATCCTTTTCAATTGGCATTCCCTCCTTACCGTGTCGGTCTTTTGTTTAAATCTCTATGGGCTTTGCCTAATTGCTAGGTTTTGTTGTTGTTATACTATGCATTTTTTCAAGTTCAGTTAAATGGCTTTGACTGTTCACCCCCTTGGGGACTCTGTGTTGGGTGGCAAGGTGGCATAATATGTTTTAAATAAATAACATTAATTTTTTTTAGTCTTTCAAAAATAGTAACGTGGGGAGGGGGAGTAGAACAAGATTTGGCAGTTGGTTCCCTTCCTCTGCCGCGATGACCTGGCTACAGTGATCCATGCGACGGTCACCTCAAGGTTAGACTACTGTAACACTCCCTACATGGGGCTGCCTTTGTCGCAGATCCGGAAGCTGCAGCTAGTGCAGAATGCGGCGGCCAGGCTGATGATGGGCCTCCCCAAGTGGGAGCACATCCAGCCTGGACTGAAAGCGCTGCACTGGCTGCCAATAGCATACCGAATCTGCTTCAAAGTGCTGGTACTTACCTTTAAAGGCCTACATGGCCAGGGTCCGACTTACCTGAGGGACCGCCTTTCCCCACATATACACCCAAGAGCACTTCGGTCCGTGGCACCACATCGCCTGGTGGTTCCAGGCTCCCGGGAGGCAAGGCTCGCCGTGACTAGGGCCAGATCCTTTTCAGTGGCAGCCCCTACCTGGTGGAATGAGCTCCCAGAGGAGATCAGGGCCCTGCGGGACCTTATGCAGTTCCGCAGGGCCTGTAAGACCGAGCTCTTCCGCCAGGCTTTCACATAGGGGCCGCCACTACCACCGCCACCGCCACCAATGTGGTGGATAACATCTGGGTTAAGGATGGCCCGGGAAGATCTGCCACAATTTCTGCGTGACTGATACCACTGGATTCACCTGGTTAGGATAGGCTATAGGTTAACATCATCCCTGGAGAACTGTCTGTTTACCATCTGGCACGTATCCGGAGACCATCTTGTTTTTAAATTGAGTACTACTGTTATTAATGTTGTTATTGTTTTTATCTGTTTTATATGGGCTTTGCCACTCGTAAGCCGCCCTGAGCCCGCTCTGCAGGGAAGGTGGGGTAAAAATCTCAATATAAATAAATAAATAAATAAATAAAAGATTTTGTTTTATCGCAGCACACACGTTTCCCATTCAGAAGGTCCCACGTCCAACCCTGGACATCTCCACTTGAAGTCATTTCAAGGTCTGTGGTTGGGGAGGTCCTCTGACCTTGGAAACCAGCTGCCTATCAGAGAGCTGGGACAGGCAAGCCAGGGGTCTCACCCAGGGCCAGGGGAGCTTCATAGTTCCACGCTGGCACTGTCCAGAAGCTGCACAAAGATGGCAGCCGATCTGACACACACACACCCATGCCCAACTGCAAAGTCGAACAGAACGCAGCATCTTTTCATACCTCTCCACTGTGAAGGCCGTGATGGAGCAGGACGACACGTTGATGCCCAGGTACTGGAAGTAGGTGATGCCCAGGCAGCCGACGTACCCGTAGATCCATGTTCCTGTCAGGCTTTCAGAGACGTTGGGCAGCCCAGCGGCGACCAGAACCATCAGATCGGCCATGGCCAGGCTAACCAGGTAGCAGTTGGTGGGAGTCCACATGTCCCGGGTGGTGGTGACCACCAACACCACCATGACGTTGCCGACGATGCCAACTCCACAAACGCCCAGCACCAGGAAGACGGAGAGAGCCTTGTATTCCAGCACTGCAAAGGTGGCATCGCTGTTTGCCAGGGAGATGTTGGTGGGGTTGTCCCCCTGGTGGCTGCTGCTGCTGCTGTTCTCCATGGCCAGATGTGGAGTGAGGTATGTCCCAGTGGGAGCTCCTGATTGCAGGTCTGGGGTGGGGTGGGGGGGAAGGCGAGGAATCAGCTTTCAGAGGAGGTGACCTTTTCTCTCCCATTCAAGTGTTTTCATCGCAATCTCTGTGTGCGGGGAAGGAATGTACACAAATCAGATGATGAGAACTGCAGGCACCTGAAGTGGACGGTGCTCTGCTGAAATCAGCCGGATTGACAATCCCTGCAGATGTGGGCGACTCACCTCTTTGTTCTAGGGTGGTTGGAGGAGCCCTGCCTTTCCGCTTCTCTTATGCATTGCTGGTCTCGGCCTATGTGAGTCCCTCCCCCCCCCGCCGCCCCAGCAGAGCCTGTGTGTTGCTTTCATGTAGGTTCCGTGCCGGTTTGGGAGGCAGTTTTGTATGAACATTGGAACACAAGCATTTATTCATCTAATAAACATGGAAACTTGCAGAAACAGTTTTGCTTTCCCCACGCACCCTGTCCCTGATCATATCTGAGGACACTTAGAGTGAGTGATTTGCAGAGCTGGGATTCAGCACCAACGTTTGTACTCCTAAGCAGAGCTTGACCCTTTCAAGCCCACTGATTTCAATATACGTAGAAGGGTGTAACAATCCTTAGGACCACACTGTAAACACTTTGGGAAGTGACCAACGCTCCCTCTAAACTGTGGAGTCTTGTGAGCAAAAATTCTACTTGGTGAGCTACTGGCATTAAAGTTGTGAGCGAGCGATTTTCCTGCTGCATCAATGAGTTTGCTCTGGAGCCCTCCTTCCCGAGCCAAGACAAAACTCTATGAGCCGGAGGCTTAAAAACTGTGAGCTAACACACTGACTCAGCTTAGAGGAAACATTGGAGTGACCCCCCCTCAAGGCCTGCAGGAGGCTTACAGAGGGTTCAGTCACTGCCGGAAGGTGGTTTATGCCAGATATTTGCTTTCCTAACATGCCCAGGAAATGCTTGGCACAAACACTACCTCCAGCTCTGCCTCCTTTTCCCAAATGGTCTTTCTCCCCTGTTGAAATGCCACAATTTATTTTATTTCCTTCCGTTTCCTTCAATGCTCCACTAGGGCTTCAAGCCCGAATTGATTAAGTAATCTGATGCACAAACTAAACTTTTCATTGCAGGTTTAAATTTGGCCTCTGATCAGTCCTAAGACCTGGGCTCCTAAAGGATCCGTTGCCATTTTCTCTAGTGCAACGCCCTCCTCCCTGCATTGGAGGCGATAAGAAGGAAGCTCACCTTCCAGGGTCTGTCTAAAAGAAATCAATCGTTTGCCTTTCCAAGCTTCCTCCGATAGGAACAGCCAAACAAGAGTGTGGGGCACCCTGATTCAGCCAGAGCCACCAGTGCCTGGCATGGGGACAGGGACCCCCATTTTGGAGCTGCCCCCAATTTGTGCAGCAGTTTCTGCAGAGGAGGGGGTAGGAAAGGGGGCCCGCATGCCCCACTTTCCAGTGAGGGCTTTGCAGCGCTCTAACGCATTTAACTGTAATTGGACAGCGAATTGACTTAATCAGTTAAAAACCAGGGAATTGATCAATTCGAAACGCTTTAAATCACTTGACGGCCCCCATGATTAGATTTCGATGCCTCCTCCTTTCCCGGTCTGCTTCTCCTTCCCCCACTGTTCTTATCTGGAGGGAAGCAACTCTGTGACAGCGAATTGACTTAATCAGTTAAAAAAGAGGGAATTGATCAATTCGAAAAGCTTTAAATCACTTGACGGCCCCCGTGATTAGATTTCGATGCCTCTTCCTTTCCCGGTCTGCTTCTCCTTCCCCCGCTGTTCTTATCTGGAGGGAAGCAACTCTGTGTGCCTTGAAGGAGGTCTGGAACGGAGGGGCTAGCCCCTGCCACCTCCCGATCCGAAGCATCACCTTGAGGCTGCCCAGCAAGAAGCTGGTTTTCGGAAAACAAAGCTGCAGGCATCTCTTGGGGTACAGGTGGGCATGGTGCTTGTCTGACTAGCTGGGTGCCCACGGACTTCTGCTTTGTGTGGGGGATTGATATCGTGGCGTTATCCTGCATTTACACATTCATTGCCTTCATGTCTGAGCATGGCACAATGTGGTGTTGTTATCCCCTTTGCTCGCTTCTCAGATCCGGGTGCCGCTTAATTTCACTCATCCCTGAAGCGACCTGCAATACCTTTTCCAGAGGGTACCTGCTGAAAATTCCAGAGATAATACATCCCAGGCCGGAAGGGAGACCTGCGCACTGCTGCAGATTGGACTCTCTTGCAGCAATAAGGAAGAGGAGGAAATGAGTGCTGAAAGTGGAATCGGGCGCGACAAAATGTCACCACCCCAGTGTGGCCCAACTTGTCCGCCTGGCCCCCTCTTCCTTGAGGCCAATTCCCTCTCTTGTCCCCTTGGGTTTTCTTGTTTATTTTCTTCCTTTTAGCCAGTTTGTTTCTAGCCAAGCTCTTTCCAAACTCTGCTGCAAGGAGACTGTGGGGAGGCAGGGGTTGCTCTGTGCCCCGTCCCTGCCATCAGACCCCAAAGTTTTGTAGGGCTCTACTTAGATCTCTGTAGCACTCTCCATAACTTGAATCAGGGCTCTTTTGGTAGAAAAAGCCCAACAGGAACTCATTAGCATAACAGGCCACACCCAACAGCAGCAATGCATTAGCATGTTAGACCACACCCCTGACTGCACCGCTCATTAGCCTATTAGGCCACACCCCCCATGTTACCAGAAGTGTGCTCATCCAGCCACACCCACCTTTTGCTTCTTATTCTGTTTACCTTGTTTGTTGTCAAAACCCAGGGCCTTTTTTTGTAGCAGGAACTCCTTTGCATGTTAGGCCACACACCCCTAATGTAGCTGTTGGGTGTGGCCTATTATGCTAATGAGTTCCTGCTGGGCGTGGCCAACTTGGGAGCCAGCCGGAACTCCGTTCCTGTGCGTTCCTGCCCCAAAATAGCCCTGCCTTGAATACACGAAGCTGCCTTATTCTGAATCAGAGCCTCGGGTCCATCAAGGTCAGTACTGTCTGCTCAAACTGGCAGTGGCTCTCCAGGGTCCCAGGTGGAGTTCTTTCACATCACCTACGCTCTGGTCCTTTTAAATGGAGATGCCGGGGATTGAACCTGGGACCTTCTGCACACCAGGCAGAGGCTCTACCACTGAGCCACAGCCCCTTCCCTGCCCATCTTGAGCAACTGAAGCTGCCTTACACTGAATCAGACCCTTGGTCCATCAGGGCCAGACTTGTCTACTCAGACAGGCAGCAGCTCTCCAGGGTCTCAGGTGGAGGTCTTCCACATCACCTATGCTCTGGTTCTTTTTAACAGGAGATGCCACCGGGGATTGAACCTAGGACCTCCTGTGAACTAAGCAGGTGCTCTGACACTGAGCCATGGCCCCACCCCAATACGGACACCTGACTCTGCCTTCCGCTGAATCAAATCATCATCGGTCCATCAAGGTCAATATTGTCCATCATTGGTCCATCAAGGTCAATATTGTCCCATTCAGACTCACAGCAGCTCTCCAGGGTTTCAGGTGAGTGGTCTTTCACATCACCTACCAATCTGATCCTTTTAACTAGAGAAGAGGGAGAGGCACGCCAAGCAGAGACACTGCCAGTGGACCACAGCCCCCTGACCAACCACAGCTCCCTCCCCAGAGAAGCCAGGGCTTCTGTGTTACTCAGGCATGCCACACCGGTGTGGGAGCCCCTCCTTCCAGGAACCTTGACATGCTGACCTGCCCGTCCACTGGACTTCAAAATGGACCACCCCCAACAGTATCATCCACTGAAGCCAATTTGCAGCCCCGTCATTGTGGGAGGCAGCATCTCTCCCCCTCCCTCTGTCCCAAATCCGCCACCACCTGCTAACTAACTTTTCTGGAGAACTTACCTTTTGCATCGTGTTCCGGGGTTTGAAGGCAGTGCCTCCAGAAAAGGACAGCCGGACGCCTCATTCTCCCCAGGTCTCTCTCTTCTGTCCTGCAGTGGTGGAGCGCTTTCCTCTCCTGCCTTTTCTCCCACGGTTGCTACAGCCGCCGTCTCTCGCCCTTCTGTGGAGCCGGTGCCGTCTTTCGCTCACAGATATAAGGGGAGTCCTCATCAGCTGATGTCGCTTCAGTCTGCCAGGCTAACCTATGAGAGGAGAGACCCGTCCTCACTGCCTCCCAGAAAGAAATTATAATCAGAATTGTTTGTCGTGTGGGGAAAGGGAGCAAGCGGGGAAGGGGGGTGGGCAAATCAAAGAAATAGCTGTGCTCAGCTTGTCATTTTTAAACGCATGTATTGCTGGTGAAAGTGGGAGATATTTTGACAAATGTAACTTGCTTGTGTTCAAGAGGATGCGCAGGGAGTCGGGTGGAACGCTTGCTTCCCAGTCCCAAAGTGCAGACTTTTCAAGGGGTGGCGAAGTCCTGGCATGTGCTGTGTCTCCAGGCCTCTGTGGGGCCATCAGTTGTCCTTCATAGACTCCTCCAGGATTCAGGGGTGGTGTTTTTTTTTTGAAAAGTTTTTTTTTAAATTTCATACATATAAAACAAACAGACATACAAACATAAATACATAAAAAGGGAAAATTCGTTATGTCATTTTTATATGCAATCATTTGACCTCATACTGTAACTAAAAATTTGATTTCTTGTTTACACCTTTTAATTATAATAAACTCATTTTGCTCACAAATATAGATGTATTTTTTGTATCTTTTAAGAACATGAGAGAAGCCAATGTTGGATCAGGCCAATGGCCCATCTAGTCCAACACTCTGTGTCAAACAGTGGCCAAAAATACCAGGTGCCCTCAGGAGGTCCACCAGTGGGGCCAGGATACTAGAAGCCCTCCCACTGTTGCCCCCCCCCCAAGCACCAAGAATACAGAGCATCCCTTGCCCCAGACGGAGAGTTCCTATCTATACCTTGTGGCTAAGAGCCACTGATGGAGCTCTGCTCCATAGGTTTATCCAATTCCCTCTTATAAGAACATAAGAGAAGCCAGTGTTGGATCAGGCC